AACAGAATTAGCACACTTCCAGCATTTTGACCATCCAGCATACCAAATCTAAACTGCACAGTCATGTGAGGGGGCTCAGCTGTACCTGCAGCCTGCTATTGCCACGATCCCATGGTCTGCCTTCAGGAACAGCAGCTCCCTGGTGCTCCTGTAGATGCTCCATTGCCACCTGATGGCATGGGGGAGGGAAATTCTCTCTCTCCTACCAGGACATGAAGGTCTTCAAGGTGCTGGTGCAAGCTGGGACTACTGCATGTTTATCCAGCACCTGTTTGATGGTCTATTGTCTAATTATGCAATGTTTCCAAAGATGCCCAAGGAACATTGATCATGGCCCAAGACATTTGTTTTAGCAAGCGAGAGAAGCATGAGTAAAAGAGAGATGAAGGAGCTGGGTACCTTCTCTAAGGTGAGAGATTTGGGACAGTGGGTTTGAAAGAGGAAAAGGATCCTTGCCAAGCAAAGGTCTGTCCCAAGTGAAGTTTGGGAAATCAACAAGTAAGATAAGAAAGATTAGAAGTTTAGCAGAATTACTCCTATGGATTACATGGATTTAGTTGTGAGGTTTGCTCATTTAGGAGGAAGACACATACTGGGGGGGTTGTTATTTCCTATGAGCAGAGCTCTGCTTCCACCTTCCTGACTGCTCAGTTTGGTAGAGAAGCACAGGGCTCATATGAGGCCAGAATTTGGCTTTCCAAGTTCAGGTACAGCTAAATCCTTTTTGGCCCCTCATGAGCAATGGTCCCTGTTCATTAGGAGAGTTTGACTGGTTAGTTGTTTAAAGCTGCATCTTTTCTCCTGAACAGATCTCAAACAAATGAGTCTTGCCCAAGATTGCTGCTGTTAAAGCTCAGGATCCCTGGTGCTCTGGAAACATTCAGCCATGTGTTGTGAATGTTGTCCCAGGTCAAAAGGGGAAAAGAAACCCCAACTACCAAGAATGCTGCCGGACTGCTCTGTAGCTTAGCATCCTGCACTGGGACCTGCAGCCCTTGTGCTGTCTGCAAGAATTCACAACTCCCTGCTAGGCTCCAGAGTTTGGCCCTGGCTGGAGAACACAACGAAGGGTGAAAAGCATGTCTTGATAATGCTCAAAATCTAGCAAAGGTGCAGACATTTTTTCCATTAGTTTTTCTCTGAATTTTTCTTTGAGTTGTTCTTTAAACATTGTCTGAAGTTGTCATTTGAAAAGAAATAATTTCCCATGCAAAGAAGGAAGAGCCATAAGGAGGGTAATTATCATGGCATTTGAAATAATCCACTACTATTTCTTTGCCAAAACATCCCTCTGTTCTCATGTTTTGTTTTCCTAAGCTCTAAAATTTGTCCTGCAGTTTGCTAATGTTAAAAAGACAGACTAATCTGACAGATTTCCAGATCAAATGCTTCTGTTTCCTAACAATAAATTTGGCTGCCCTCCGACAGCAGTGACTTGTTTGAAAACCTGAAAATCTTTAAATATTGTTAATTGCTCTTGGAAATGTTAAATCAGACTTTTGAACAGGAACATTTGCAAGTGGAGAATGATGTGCATTTCAAATCTGTAGTGCTGGTTTTCCAAATGTTTCTTTGATAGCCAAACCAGTTGCATCAATTAAGCAAAACCTAGAGGTAGGTCTGGACTCCCTCTCACTTTTGTTGCTGGCCCTAACACACAAATCAGAGAGGATGTATTTCTAATACAAGAATGTTCTGCAAACCAGTAAATCTGGGATTATCTCTTCGGACTGATTATGTCAAAGCTCTTTAGCCACAGCACTTTTGGAGAGCTAAAAATAAATAGCAGCAGGGTTTATACATTTATTCTCTGCCTAAATAATCTGTGCGTATTGTGTGTGTCTGTCTACAATGTGAGACATGGTATCTGGACTTAATGTTTATTTATAAGAGCTCTTTTCCTAGTAAGGATTTTGGCAAAGGGTTTAAAACAAACTGTCCTAGGAGAATCGTTCATGGAAGAAAGTCTAGTGCAAGTTGAAAGGAACTGAGTTCAAATCAGAAGCATTTACAGCAGCAGATTGACATTAGAGCAGAATTTGGCCCTGTATGTTTTGAAAATGAGTGAAAACTACTTCCCTTCTTCCTTACCAGTGATGGAACAATGTTATGCCATTGAATATAGAGGGTTGTAATCCTGATTTCAGTGCCACAATTCTGCACCATTAGGAGATCTGGAGAATTTTTTACATTTAGTTTGTATGAGAACAAACTGAAGTCCTTGCAGCAGTTAGCAGGAACTTAGGCAATGCTGCCATTTGCCTCCTGGCCATAAAGTATGTAGGAGGGAAATCTCCTGAAGAATAAACACTTAACAAAAAATTTTTCAGTTGGTTACATCAAAGAGCTGGGAATGCCTTTCCATGTAACTCTTCTACTCCTGTGCAGTTTCTCCCTTTTCACAGGGTTGATGCCACATGCTCATGAGAAAATGGAGCTAAGGATTTGGGTACACAGCAGGTCAGGTACACAGCAGGTCATGGAAGTCAAACGAGAAGAAAACAAATTTAAAAATCATTTTGTTCTTATTTAAATTCAGTAATGGATTGTTGAGAAATGGCTTGATAAAAGCAGGCAATATAAACACTTAAAATAGTACTGGAGGCAATAAATCTTGCATTGGCAGAGCTGGAATGGATGGAATCCAGTTCATTCAGCTCCCTTTATTCTGCAGGTATTGGACAGAGTTCTGTGTTGTTATACCAATAAATGAAATCACATGCTGGGACTTCAATTTAGAGCACTATCCTCAGTATTAAGCCTTATTGTCTGAATATTTTAATTGGGCAACAAAAAGGCATTTCCTGACCTTATGGAAAACATTGCAGAAAAACACAGCAAACTATTTTCCTTTGTGTATTTACAAATATGAATTTATCCATAATATAAATATGAATCCCTACGTTTCCCTGTGTTGGGGAGTAATGGGAATGATGTTCCTGATTAGACAGACTTTACTCACAAGTCTCATAAAACACTGTAAAAGGAGTCCCTTCATGTTCTTCATGTTGGCTGTCTTCTGACTCTCTCAAGGTACACACTGCAAACTTTGGCAAGTTGCTTTCATTCCTGGTAGAAATGGTGCATTTACTTTCTTAGAACGAAACCATTACTGTGCCTGAGGTTGGTCAGTGTCTACTGCAGTGTATTTGCTGTAGGAACTCCAGTAAAACCCATTTTTGTAACGTGCTCATGAAGGGAGTCCCTCCAATGCATAGGAACTCCAGTAAAGCCCATTTTTGTAATGTGCTCATGAAGGGAGTCCCTCCAATGCTGCACTCACCAAAAGAGCACTTCTGCTTTGGTCTTACACATAACTGGAGCTTTTGAGTGTGATTTTTTTTTGTTTGGTCAAGAATAAGAACTAAGGATATGACCTTTACATTCCACATTTTGTTTTCCTTGTTTGGTCCTTACTCAGGGATTGCTTCAACTGAAGCAGTGCCTAAATTCACAGGTGACTTGTTCAGAGACAGGTTCATTTATTCCTGCAGCTCAAGCTGTGATTTACATTAGCATCACATTCACCTCTTGGTGAACAGCATCATCCTCATCATATCCCACTGAGTCTGAGCACAGTGTACTCAAATGAAAGGTGTGAATACAAGGTAGGATCATAGCATGATCATGTTGACTGGAATAGTGATCTCCAAACCCATAACTCAGTGTAGTAGAACATTGACTCAAATTCCTACTTTTACATATTTTTTTCCATAATCAGATATTCAGGAGAGTGTTCTTAAAGACAGAAAGGCAAAACCTGTTTCCACTTGGAAAAGTAAATCTAGAGTAGTTCCCTCATGGCACCACCAATGCACCTGCAAGGTGAGAACAGACATGGATTTTAGGGCCACTGGATGCTAGAGCATGTGAGAAGACTTATTTAGCCTTTGCACTGTATATTGCACATACAATATTTTTCAGCTAGTTCTTGTAATGAACTTCTATTACAAAATTAATCTTTGCACTGAGTTGACTATAAAAACTGTGAATTTATTAGCAAGATGGGGTTTTTTTTTAGTGAAAAGAAGCTATTTCCTTTCCCAAGAACACATTATTCCAGAAGGGAGAAGAGGCAGTGTCTTGCCCACACACAGTATGGCTCTCATACACACCACCAATCACAAGGTGTGCAGTGTTCTCACCCTCAAGCACTAAACCCATTCCCTGGATCTGTCCTTACCAAGTCTTGGTCAGGCTCTTTCCATTCACACTGAAGCTTTCCAAAAACTGTAAAGCAATTTAGCCTGTATGTCAAATGTAAGATTTAAGGCTAAAAAGCAGCGCTGACACTTTTTTGTTACATGTGTAAAGGCTGTGGAAGCATGTCCAGAATTTGGTCTAGAGGACATGTAAACAATGTCATTTATTGGGATTTATTCACCTTTTTGGCCTTTTTCTGAAGGAAGAGGAATAACTTAATCATGCTAGAATATTAATCATAGAATCCCAGAATGGTTTGGGTTGGAAGGGACCTTAAAGATCATCCCCTTCCAACCCCTGCCGTGAGCAGGAACACCTTCCACTAGACCAGGTTGCTCCAAGCCCCATCCAGCCTGGTCTTGAACACTGCCAGGGTTCTTGTTCAAAAATGTTGAGCATATTTCTATGGTGTAATTCCACATTTGCTCAGCTTCCTCTAGACCACCATGCCTCAACTGGTGTGATGGCCATGTAATACTTTGTGGGCTCGTTGGGAGTTTCACAAGACTCTCGAGCCTGGGCTGAACACCATTGTTGGGTCAGTTGTCTACAGCTCCAGTAATTACCAGGAAACATCCTCAGTCTCTATCAGGAGCCTTATACAAAAGCCTTGTCTCTATTGTACTGAGACTGCACATTTTGTTTGTAAAACTCTCACAGTTAGCAAGAAAAACGACAATTCTGTGTTTGAAAGTGTCGTAATCACCATTACAACTCCAGACTCCAACTGGTATTTCTGGGTTTGAGATTGGTAAGCCTCTTTTGGGTTGCTAATAGCATTTCTTGTTTCTTTTTAGCCATGTGACACAGACAACATCCTGGATCCATCCCGTCACAAGTGCACTAAGCTTGCTGTGCTCCGAGGACGACGACGACGGAATGAGAGACCTTCCTGGGCCCAAGAGCTGAGGACAGCTGTGACACAGAGTAGTGTGTCTGGTTTCAGTACATTAGTGAGAAGATGCACAGGTTTTAACCTACGTACTTTCTAGCGTAATGTAGTAGTACCTGGTGACGTTTCTCCCCTTCAAGCCAGAGGAAGTTCTGCCATTTTTGAGGTGGGTTTGTTGATGGGTGCCACAAAGGGTGCAAGGTGCCACAGGAGTCCTTAGTCTGTCCCAGTTCAGTGTGCAAGGATCAGTCTCACCTTAGGGCCCGCTCCAGTCTTTTCATGACTTCCCCACTGATATAATTTCATTGACCTAAAGTGAAATTTTCACAGCTTTGAACAACATGAGCGTTAAGATGGGACCATTGGTGGTAGATTCCAGCTGATGGCTGACTGGGAGATGCAGAGAGAGGTGTGGGTTTTGAGCCAGTGTTAGTGAGTATAATGTAGATTACTTTAACTACTGAAAATTTTTATTTTTATGGAAGAAATCTGCAGTGTAGTTTTGCTAATAGGAATTTAGCATTTTATTACAAGTATTGGAGCCCTATGACTTTCAAAACAAATACTCAGATTGGTTGCTGAGCTTCAGAAAAATGGTAAGTTGTCAAGTAAAAGGAAAGGTTTGGTAGAGGACACCATCCTCTGTCAACAATATGAGGCAAGAATGAAAATTATTCTACTTTTGTACTCTGCTAAACCGATACATACACACATCAAATACTTCAGTGGAAGCTGTGAAGTTTCAAGTACAATGAAACCTGTGAAACCACCTCCAGGATCAGCAGAAATCAGTCACCTCCTCAGAGCTGGTCTCTTAAGTGGAACAAAATCATTTTGTACACACTGGTGTTGGTTTAAAGAGGCTTAAGCAAATGATGAGGGGTGCTAGTGCAAGTTAATGAACAGGTTTCTGTGTACCTCAATAGCACAGGATATTTTAAAGCTCATTATTCCCAGCACAATGTCTGATGTCAGCTTTGTCAGATGTATGATTTTATGCTGTGTTTTTCTGGAGGCTCTTTATATGTGTGTGTGTGTGTGTATGTGTGTGTATGTTGGTGGGTGTAGCAATGAATGAAAGACAGACCTAAACTCTGCAGAAGCACTGATGGATATGCCAAAGGAAAACTCTATCTCTGACCTTCAGTCCAAGGGGGAGAAGGAGATTGTGACAGTGTGAGGAAGGCACAGGCTGCAGTCACATTTTTTGAGGTCTTTCTTCAGCAGGTTTGGCGTTGCTGTTAAGAATCTTTGTCCTCTGAGAGATGGATGTAAAGACCAGACTTACTCACAGTTCTGGTGTCTCAGCCACACTCTCTGTCCTCAGCATTGCAGAGCTCTGCCAGGCTCACTGGAGCTGTTGATGCTTTTGAATCAAAATAATATACCTTTTTTTGATATCCCAGTCAGGGCTCTGCTTAGCAATGCAGCAATCTGTGCTTGGCCTGAGAGCTGTAGAGCACATCACCAAATGTTCCTCCTGCAGGAACAGTGTGCAGCTCACTAAAGAGGCTGTTGCAGACTTTGCTGGAAGTAGATGTCAGGATATATTGAATAAGCAAATAGGAAAAATTTGTTTTGTACTTTTAACTAGGTCAGACCCAAGTTATCTGTGAATCTACACAGGTGGTGTGGATTAGGAAGAGCTTGCTCAGCACACCCATGGTAACTTACATTTCTAAGAAAACTCCTCCTAGCAATAACCCAGGAATGTTTTAGCCATACTTTGCTCCCGTGGCTCCTTCGTGCTCCTCAGCCTCCCTTATGCTCCTGGAGAGCACAGTCCGAGGGGCAGAGCGTGTGCTTCAGTTTCAGGCTTGGACACTAGAAGCATTTTTATTAAAATCCCTTCTCTGAAAATGGCACAGACCCACAGAGGATGTGTGAGGTTCTGAATTCCTTGGGTTATTTGCTGTAGCCATAGGAGTCATTTGGATGCTTTATGACAGCACTTTCTGTTCATACTCCCATAGTATCCAGCCTGCCCATAGATTGCAGTTTTCCAGTCGTGTTCAGGAGAGGTTTGAATCTCCACTTGCCTCTTGCAGTCTTGATTTGTTCTGCTCCTGGCTCTGTGGCAGCTCTCTGGGTGTCTTGAAGAGGAGAAGCTATTTAGGGACAGGGACTGTGGATCAGGCAGGCTGCATGGGCAGAGACTTGGTGGAGAGCAATGTAAAGCTGTCCTTGTGTCAGATCAGCTGGAGGAGAACAGCTCTGCACATGCTGCTGCCCTTCCTGGGGCACTGGGGCTGGTCCTGGGCATGGAGAGCCTGCTGTGCACGAGGGGAGAAGGAGACAACATGAGCTGCCTGCTCTGCTTGCTGTCCCCACCCACGGCTGAGAACATGTCAGAAACTTGGAGCCTGTTTCTCCCTCTGTCTTCAAAATTTGCCTAGAAATTAAAGAGGTTAGAAATAGATCTCTGCATCTCTCGAGCTGCTCTGGTAAGCATTTACCTCTCCAGATAATCCACTAGTTCACATTCTCTGTGGCTGAGACTACATTTTCATACCTGCAATCTCCAAATGTTCTCATCTATTTTTGTACACTGGCATACTTGTTTCCTAGGTTATTTCTCTTGATCTCCCCTTGTCTCTTCCTTTCGGTGAGATAGTTCTGTGAAATTATTTTGATTAAGCTGAACTGTGTATATTGAGAAAATGGTTCTAGGAGGACTTAATTTGTAAGGAGCAGTTGTCAACAACTACTGCAACCTGCAAAGAGCAGCTTTTCATTTTTATTCCTGAATAAAAATAAGTGGAAAAGATGTTAAAGTGCACATCGTATCCTTTTAAATAATGAAACCAGAGCTTGATCTGGGAGTGGCTGTGAGGCCATAAATGATTCCAGTATCTCTGTTTTCCATGTAAATGTGACAACATGAAAAATCCTGCCCTGGTACACCCTGGTGTTAATGTTTACCTGAATCCTTGCACCACACTGCCCTTCAAACACTGCAAGTCTCCCAGCACATTTACCATGGCACAATCTCCCACCAAAGCAGAGAGCTTCACACAAACACCTGCACAGGCCCAGAAGACACTGAGCTTTGCAGGTGCCTGCTCACTTCCTTGTGACACTGCTCAGTGTCTTGATAAATTAGGTGATCCTTTCATCAGCCCCACCAGATAACTATAAGCACCCACACATCTGTCATCTGGTCATCCCATAAACATCACTTACACAGTCCCACCGTGGCCACAGGGTGTGTGACAGCTGCACTGGGGGTTTCCACAGTAAAGTTTGGGGGTTGACCTCTTCTTCCAGGCAAGGGTAAATGGTCTCAAGTTACACCAGGGGAGGTTTAGGCTGAATATTGGGAAAAATTTCTTCACTGAAAAAATGGTGAAGCATTGGAACAGGCTCCATGTGGAAGTGGTGGGGTCACTATCCCTGGAAAAGTTCTCCAATATCATCAAGTCCAACCTCTAACCAAACACCACTGTGCCCACTAAACCACAGGCAGGTAGTGGGCAAACCCCAATAGTGGGATAAGGAGAGAGAGAGAACAACTCCACTTGTCCTGCATCTAACATATTTTTTTTTCCTAATTACCAAACCCTAAATTTCAAAGGAAGCTAAGAAAGCAAATCAGGTCTGCTACAATTCCTCTGCAGGTCTCTGTGGAGTCTCACTGACTCTCCCCACAGTTGTAGTTTAGGGAACAGAAGTGGATGGTATCCTAGCTGGAAATCAGTTGGAATGTTTAGCCTGTAAATTAAGGAAGAAGAAATTAATTACACTACAATGAGAAATACAGTAAGATAGAGGTAATTCCTATAACTCAGCCTTTTAACTAGCTGGTTTACTTCCAGATCCATTTGCTTCCCTGTCTGTTGGGTGACCTTACCTGCTCCTCAGACGAAGTGGAGTTGGAGTTATCTCGAGCACGAGCTGCCAGGGCAGTGAGGTGGCACTGCCTGCGTTTGGCTGTGGAAGGTGAACCCCCCAAGGAGCACTGACAGGCAGGTGCAGTTGGCCAGAGGGTTCCACACAGGTTGATCTGTCCCACGTAACATTCTCCATCCATCCACTGCCTCTCGTGACAGGCTGCTGTGAGAACCTGGACCAAATGGTTCTGTTCATTTCTTTAAGTCTGTGTCTGACATGCAGGAGGTGCCTGGTGGAACTGAGGTAAGGCAAGGAAAATCCTTTACAAAAGATGTTTGTGGGTGTGGAACAGGCTGGGCTGAGCAGGACTGACTGTGGGAAAGGCTCTCCAGGAGCTCAGGAAATGCTGTTCTGACTTGGCCCGTGAATTGTTTACTTTTCTGGGAACTGATGGGATTCTTAACACTCAGCTCAAGCTATTCATGCAGGAACATTAATGCTTATTCCAAGCCAAGCACCACAATTCAGTGGTCTGTTTGCAAATGCTGAGTAACTTTTATATGGCTCTACCTTAAGTCAGTAGCAAAACTCAGCTCAGGAGCCTTTGTTTGGTTCTGTGCTCCTGGTCCTTGTGTGCCATCCACACCCACTGCTGCCAGGAGCATCAGCATGAGCTTCAGCTGCAGGGAGGGAGCCCAGTGACACCAGTTTGAACAGGCACCTGTCAGCCCAGGCGCTGGGAACAGCTTTGCAAAGATGTTTAGCAGCTTAAACATGTTCACGGAGTTAATGGGAATTAGGCACCTAACCTACTTAGATGCTGCTATAAATGCTGCTAGGCATGTTTAGGTACCTAAATACCTTAGTAAATCTGTCCCTTTACTGCTTGCAGTGGGAGCATACCAAACATCAAATAGCAGTGACGAAAGCTTCACCTCTGTCCTCTGTAACCAGCTTTGCCTTTCCCTGGAGATTGTTTTCATGTAACACTAAAAATACCAGCCAGCTCACAGGCTGTGCCATCCAGGTTCTGGTCATATTTTTTGGTGGCTCATTTATTTATTGCTCATTCTAGATGTTTTTGTTTTCCTCAAACAGTGGCTGATGTTGCCATGAATTTAGTAAGTTGATGTTTTCACAACATTCTTTGAAGTTATTTTATCACAAGTTAATAGTATTGAATTCA